AAATGGGTCTAAAATATTTATACATGTTTGGACAGTTTGGAATCCCACTTAGAGGGGAATGTTGATTAAGGGGTTTTTTTCTTCACATGAAAGATTCAATGTTGACACAAAGTGTCAATTCTTTCCCAGGATTGCTTAGCTCGGAGCTGGTTTGCTTTTCATACCATCGTCTTTCACATAAACCAAATAGAAAATACTGCTAAAAATGTAAACATTAACCTCTGAAAGGATGAAAAATAAAGTTTTCCTTCTTTACAGAGCATGGATGGCATAGAAAGGCATGATTCTTGTCTCTAAGAGCTAACACATGCAGTTAAGCAGATAATGTGTAAGAGATGAGTGGATAATCAGAGGTACTTCACACAGATCAGCAGCACTGCTGCCTGTGCTGGGGTTTTGTACATGGCTGTGTGTGCTGGATTAACACTGACAGAGACCAGCACTGACAATGTCCACAGGAGACCAAGACTGCTAATTTCAATCTTAACTGGGTCCAAAAGGGCAGGAATATTCCAAATTTCATGCACTTCCAGAATTTTCACCGTGCGTGACTCCTAAGTCCTGATGTGTGAAAGACCCCACCAAAAGCAGGGGTTGGAGGAATATTTCATGATCCTGTGGATAGTACTGAGACCTTGGTTGTTTTGTGTGGGAGGTCAGGAGGTCTTTTTTTACCTGAGGATCATGGAGAATAATGAGGCAGCCCTGGAGAAAACCCTGCTGCTATTCTTTCCTGAACTAATAAACCCCACATCTGTATGAGGCAGATAGCAGCTCACTCTCCAGCTCCACACACTCTCTTTAGGTCATTAGCTGAGACTGTTAACGAGGAGGGCAGTTGGATGAGGCTGCAGTGGTGGAGGTTTTGGCTACGAACACCTGAACCCGGAGTACACTCATTCATCAGAGGATGGCAACAACAAAGGGCTGGAGTGCTGAGCTGGGTTTGGAGAGGCAGCACACAGATAAAAGCCTCCAGAAGCCCTTTGCAATTCCCTTAGTCATCCATTCCCACCCAAAGCTGCTGTTTGGAAGCTTCCAGGGAGCCTGGTGCGACCTTTGCCTGTCCTTTTGGTCAGAGCTCTTATCTGTGCCGTGCAGCCCCGGCCCCTCTCTGCTTGTCCTGCTCCAAAACAGTTCTTATGGGATAAACAAGCCATATTTGCTGATGCACGTTCTCACTTCTCTTATCAGCTGAGCAGCACGCCTCTCCTGCACGGTGGGTCAAACAAGCTGCTGGTACAGCTCCAAGAATTCCAGGGCAACTGCATCACAGCCCATTTGGCGCTCACTCCCGGCTCTGGACTGCAAAGAATCACACCCACGTGATGATGGAGCTTTATCTCGGACTGACCGAGAGTTTCCCAGTGTTGCAAGGCAGATTTGGGTTGATGATTGCAGGTCTTGGGTCTTTTTTAATGAGATATCAGTATGATAAGCACTGCTTTGGGGAGCTGTCAAGATGTTTTAGGATATGGTCAAGACTGTGTGTCCTATTGGAGAAGAATTTCAGCTTTATTGCCATTGTCTCTTTAAAATGTAAATAAATAAGTAAAGCATCTGTAACTCAGAACCAGTTCACAGTGCTCCTGAAATCCATTGGTAAAGTTGTTTGAGGTTAGACACACACCTGAGGAGAGATAAACCCCAAACCCCTCTGAGCTTTTACAAACCAAGCCAAGGAGTTACAGCCCTGAGGAGGAAACATCTCAGGAATCACATGGAATGCAGCTGGCACGTGGCTACTGGACTGAAAAAGGGGGGTTGGTCATGGCTTTAAAAGGTTATTCCTCTCTCAGCACCTCAAAGCAACAGCTTTCCATTGCTCTCGTCACTCCTGTTCCAGCATTCCTTGTTGCTGCCCTTCCAGTTCCAGCATCTCCACAGCAATCAGGGCAGTCTATTCACCTTTGGTTATAGCTTTGCTGTCTTACATCAGCCTACAAATGTAACCAGAATACACTAGACAGAGAGCAGAGGTGATCACAGAGCACTTGGAAAAAGGTGTATTCCATTTTTTCATTAAATAAATATCTCTCCCCTGAAAATCTTTTTTAAAAATCTAAATTTTTCATGCGTTATCTGCTTTTTGCCCTGCAAAAAATTAAATATTTGAAAATTTACTTTTTAACAGAGAAACAGATTAACAAGAGCTTTTTGATCATCCCTTTGCTGGGGGTGAAGAACACGGGGGCTTCAAGAGTTGCTTGAGTATTGCTACAGAGAGTGATGGTAGGTCGAGCTCCGTGTTTAAAGAATAACCCAGAGATGTCACCAAATGTGTTTATTTAGCAGAAGTTCATGACTTTTTGCCACCCATGTGCAAATGGCTGCAGGGGCTGTTGAGTAATTAATGCTTGCAGGGCACTTGAAAATGGAGCGTGGTGTATACTCCTGCAAACTGTGTTTAATTAACCATCAGAGATCTGCTGATTTATTAGAGACCTTTCCAAGACGTGGCTTCTCATTAGCCTGGTACAAAGCGACCCACAGCAGGAAGGAACACGTTGCTTCAAACACAGTTCAGCTTTCAGCCTGTTTAATCTTCATCCCACTGACAGACTTCTGAGTCCTAATTTAACTATGGTTCCTGAAATGTTTTGTGATATCATATCTTAATCTCTCTGTTATGTGTCTTTTTATGTGTTTTTTCCTCAGTTGTTGTGGGACAGAGGAATAGATAATTTTTTCCAGCGTCCATTAAAATTCTCTTTGCCTGCAGTGCAGTGTGTGCTCTACAAAAGAGATCAACCTGCTGCAAGTGAAATAAGCTGATGCTGCACTGTCTTTTCAGAGCAACAAAAATCTTTACAGATTATTTTCCCGAGTGTCATGAATCTCCTTCAAAGCCTTAAGCCACTGATACCAATTAATAAACTTAATAGTCTCCTTTTCCATTCACACCCCGGCCGTACAGAGCAGATGCTCACCCTGGCAGATACTGGAAAGCTTTGCCTTTCAGAGATAAAATGTTACCTCGTGTGTGACAGGGGTGTTAAGGTGGGGGTGATTCAGGAGCAGAGAGACCTGTTAAAGTGCAGCACCCGAGGCCCTCTTGTTTTCTGAATTTACAGTCCGGGGCTGGCAGTCGTATAAATGACTGATGCTCTCTGATGTTCTCTTCCAAGCTGGCTACAGAATTGGCAGGGAGTCTTGGGTTTTGTGCTGATGTGTCCAGAATTCAAATAATTTGATTCTTGGGTATAATGACAATTGGAGGCAGAGTATTACCTTGAGAAAAGAGGGGAAAGAGACAGCTTCTGGAGCCTGGATTGAATTAACAACCGATTCCCATTTACTCTCTCTGCTGAAAACTCTATTATGCAGGGCTCTTATTGCCCTTATTCAAGGGCAGGGAATTAAAAAAGTGATATGGATGGTAATGCTCCCATCTTCCCACCATGACACTGAATAATGGGGACAAAGAAGGGAAATCTTGACGGATGATACGCCTTTTAAACCACTGCTGATGGTGAAAACACAGCAAGGATGGTGCATTGGAATATCAGCAAGGAAGTCATAGTCAGATTTTTGTGGGTTTTGCTTATGAGTTCAAGTCATCTTTGCTTTTATTTTCGCCGTTGTTTTTGGAACATTTTATCTTCTTATTCCAGTTTCTTCCTCTAAGGAACAAAACTGAGGTGAGGACAGAGGTGAAGCACTGGTTACACCAGTTCCAGGAGAAATCTGCTCTCTTTCCTCCTGGATTTGAAGAGCAAGAGTTGGGAATCTGGCAGGGAAAAGTCCATCAGCAGACTGATGTAATTATACAGTCAGAGCAATATTACTGCTCAAGCAGAGGCTCTTCTCCTTTCCAGTTCAGCCTAAGCTTCCTGAAGTTCCAGAGACTGGATCTTATACCCACTGTGGACCCTTCAGCATCCTTGCTTTACAAAGACATTCATTCAGGTTTTTAAAAATATATTTTCCTGTTTAAACTACGCCTCACACAAAATGAGCACATTTGCATTAGGAAATTTTAAAAATTTTATGGAATAATTAACAACAACTCCGTTCTGCAAGTGGGTAATTGAGAAATAGAATATTTAACTACTTTGACAGAAGTCAAACAGGGAACACTTTCTGAGGTGAGAACAAAATACAGATCTTGGTCTAGTTAGTGCAGAACCACAGAGCCTCCCTGGACTCCTGTCACTCTCACCTTGTCTCAGCCCAGATGTTAACGAGGTCCCTGACGTTACATTTTTGGTCAGACCTCTTTGTGAGGTGGAATCCTGAAAATCAGCTCTGCAGCATGACCTGGTAAGGTTAAAAATGCCACTGGGAAGGGTTTAGGGAAGGTGTTAAAACCCTCCCGTGTACTGAAATGTGTTGGTTCTGCCCATATCAGTGCCGTGGTTCTGCTGGTGTAACTCTGATTTTAGAGGCAGTGGTACCACCTTTCTGCAGGATGCAGCTCAAAACCTCTTCAGAGAAAAACTCTGAGAAGCCAAAATCAGGGCTTGCTTTGTCAAAGGGAAGCTCCTTTTATCTCCTGCTGCCCCTCACCAGTCAGGACTATCAGCAGATGCCAACCTCTCACCTGGGTGCATACACCAAGCCACGTAAATTAATTAATTATTAATTAGCGTAGACTTTGTTTCTAGCTGGGTCTAAGATTCGCAAGGAGCCACTATGAATGAAGAGAGCTGATAGCTGAATTTTCCTCATGCACATCTCTTTCTTTCCTCTGGTTTAGGCTGATAATTCTAATTCTAACCAGCTGCTTGTGGCCTCCAGAGGTCAGCCTGTCACCGGAGAAGAGCTCAGTCACAGCCCCCTCAAACTGTACTTTTCAGTGATTTCATTATGTAGAGATTCCACTTTCACTGGTAATAAGAATTACGGGTTTTGTCCCCAGTGCTTGTTGTGACAGCAAAAGCAAGGAAAGCCAAATGAGGTCTCAGTATATCCATTGTAAAGTGTTGTCATTGATCTGTGCTGCCACTTCCATGGCAGAGCCCTTACTTGACAAAAAAAAAGAAATAGCAACACTCACATCTTTCATTATTTTTATTAAAGCTGCAGAGTCTTACTACACACAACAAATATTTTATTGATATAATCTAAGTTAATAAAATAGTTGAACAACTCTTTAGATTTATATTTGTATAGAAATGATCTGGGGAACATCTCATCTCGGAACAGCAGTGCCCAAAAACAATTATTCAGCAGGATTTTTTTAAAAGAAGAGTCTGGGACTGGAGGATGCAGTGTTCATTCCCAAAGGGAAAAAAAAAATCCATGCAAAAATAACCCCACCCTCTTCCTGCTTTCTCTCCCTTCCAAACTGGAAGGCCATGTGGACTGACCACGTTCTTTCCTTCCAGTATTCCTCCTCACACCTACTCTGGGAGCTGTCCTCTAAACTGAATTCATTGAAACAAGACAAAAAGAAGATTTAATTGCACAATCCTAGTCTGCAGGTGATGACATCATAACATCTCTTTACAGAAGTCCCCACTCTGTCCCAGCTGGGAGGGTTGGTGATGGAGCTGTGTTTGTCCCCGTGGCTGATGTCACTCGGTGTCCGTGCGGTCATCACAAGCCACTCTACCCACTATTGCTTTGCTCTCCCTGCTTCCCCGTGTGCAGTTTACATTCTACTGGCACTGCCTGCAAAGGGCCCGCTCCGTGGGGCTTCCCCCCTTTTAAATTCCACAGCTCCCCTGTGGATCCGGGCACGGCGTGGCCTGGGAGGTGTCCGTGGCAGACTCCGAGGCGCTCCCTGCTAGATCATCCCGTTGATCTTAGTCCACTCGTAGATGTCCTGTTCGCACACTATGTCTGAGTTGATGAGCAGGTACCTGTCCCCCACACAGAAGTGTTTCTGGCAGGCAGCGCATTTGAAGCACTCCAGGTGATACACCTTGTCCTTCACCCTCATGGTCATCTCATAGGCCCGGATTCTCTTGTCGCAGGAGGCACAGAGCCCGTCCTGCCCAAAGAGCCTGCAACGACACGGCACAGCAGTGAGCAGGGTTCCTCTGATGGCACGTGGGGAAAACCAAACCAAAACAGGGACATGGCACAGCAGTGAGCAGGGCTCCTCTGATGGCAGGTGGGGAAAACCAAACCAAAACAGGGACACAGCACCAGTGCCTGGAGCCATGAGTCACGGCAGTGCGGAGTTAGGAACACTTGGGAAAGACAAGGAAAGCTGCTGGGCAGAGCTAGAAACTGCAACACCACAAACTGAAGCAGAAAATCCAGGGTCCTCACCTGCTTTCAGTGTCAGGGAATGCTGGTATGTTGGGCTGGAAGGAACTGGGAAGTCCATGCAGTCCCACCCCTTCCACCAGCCCAGGTTGCTCCAAGCCCCGTCCAACCTGGCCTGGGACACTTCCAGGGATGGGGCAGCCACAGCTTCTCTGGACAACCTGTGCCAGGGCCTGCCCACCCTCACAGGGAAGGATTTCTTCTGATACCCAATCTAAATCTCCTCAAATCTATACATATAATTGACTTCTGTGATCAATGACCTCATCCTGAACTGCTGAGCAGCTTCAGGAGGAGGTTACCCAGAACACCGCACAAAGCTGTGTCCTGCTGATACTTCCACTTCTGTGATTGACAGAAATTACCTTTCCATGGACAAAAGTTGCTTGTCTTCAGCTGTGCTTTGTAGTTTAAGGAAAGGAGTAAAGGAAAAGAACGTAATTTCTTTCCTCTACCAGGAGATGTCACTGTTTGCTTCTGCCCAACAAAAATAACGCTGAGGTTACACAAAGGTTGCCAAATTTTTCATTAATGACGGGAGATGTTATCTATTGCATTATTAAATAAATAAAAGCGTTGAATTTCACTGCAAGAAAATGCATTAATTGTATTGCCATACTTCCTTTGCTCCCCTTTTAAGATGAAAAGTATTTGGGGAGAGTAATTAACACTGGATCGCTGCTGGATTTACAAGTGGTCCCATTAGCAGAACTCAGTCCTTACTCTCAGCAAAATTCTCATCAGCAAAGCTCAGGGACGGCATAATTAGGGAGTCCAATGAGATTTTGTTTTAGTTTTTACTGGCAGGTAAATCAGCCTGCAGTGAAACAGCTCGAATAATACCATTAAATATCATTATTGTGTTCCCTGACACATTAGGGATCCATTAGGAGAAATGGAACACAACCAGAAGAAACGGAACACACTTTAATTGTACTCAAGAATGCAAAGATCCTTTGTTACCAATTTTTGTGAAAGATCTTAATTTCCAATTAATCCTTCTACTTACAAATTTTGGCAAAAACTGGCAGGCAGAGAGTTATTAATGAAAATACCCATGATCAGTAACAACACTGACCCTGTGGGGTTCACCTGGAGCTGTGGGGTTATGTCTTTGCAGACCACCAAGGAGCCAACAACCCCAAGTCCTAGGAGCTCTTACTATATTCTTTACATTATCAAATAATTCTGGTTTATCTACCACATGTAGCAATGCTTTTGTTTCCATTAAAACACACCCTTTTTTTTTAATAAGATTTTAAAGACTTAACTGTAAACAACTCCAAGTTTTTCATCTAACCAACACAGGTAACCTCTAGATTTATCTACGAGTTTACTGAAAAATCCCAGCAATACCAGAAAGATCTGCACATGAAACCCAAAACTCTGCAGACAAGCTGAGAGAGCTGGGGGTGTTCAGCCTTGAGAAGAGAAGGCTTTGGTGAGACCCTAAAGCACCTTCCAGTGCCTAAAGGGGCTCCAAGAGAGCTGCAGAGGGGCTTTGGACAAGGGCTTGGAGTGCCAGGACAAGGGGGAATGGCTTCCCACTGCTGGAGGGTGGGGTTCTGTTACATACTGGCAAGGAATTCTCCCCTGGGAGGGGGCGAGGCCCTGGCACAGGTTGCCCAAAGGAGCTGTGGCTGGCCCTGGATCCCTGGAAGAGCTGGCCAGGGCACGGAGCAGCCTGGGCTGGTGGAAGGTGTCCCTGCCCATGGCAGGGGGTGGAACAAGATGATCTTTAAGATCCTTTCCAACCCCAGCCATTCTGGGATTGCACAAGTGTGAGCCGAGCCCAGCTCTCCATCCTGAGCTGTGCCACCCCCAGCTGCTGCCAGGCCTCAGGAGCAATTCCAAACCAACCCCTCATTTCTCCCCGGGCTCACTGAATGACCAAGCAAAGCTGAGACAGCGTGAAGGAGAGGGGTGAGGTGTGAGGAGCGGGCTGTGTACCTGAGGTAGTCCCTCCTGCAGAGCTTTCTGCCCAGTTTGTAGTAGAGGCGTCTCCCCACCTCTCCCAGCCTGCAGCCGCACAGGTCGCAGCTCAGGCAGTCCTCGTGCCAGTACTGGTCGATGGCCTTCAGGAAATAGCGGTCCCCGATGTTCTGCTGGCACCCTCCACATGTCAGCAGAGACGGTGGGATCTGCAGGACTTCATCCACCGGTTCCCTGAGGGGAGGAGAGAATCACTGGAGAAGGAAAATCCACTGTGATCTGAAAGCATCCACGTGAGGAGAAGGAAAAGCAAAATAAGGCACGTCCAAACGGGGATTATATCCCTGTTTTTATTCCATCTCACCAAGTGCTAAAGGACCAAAAAAGGCACCTGAGGGATTTTACACTTTCTGTTGGGAAATGTAAATGTGAAGACTAAGTCTGAGGATGTCATTTCTCTGAACAGCACGAAATGAATAAATACAGCAGGTGAGACCGGTGCCCAGCCGGTTTGAGATTCATTGCTGGTTTTAATAGAGCCAGAATTTTACCTCATGTTAGTGCAGGACTTCTTTTTTCCCTTAGCTAAGGACATGAATCCACTGGGATGGGTCTATACTCAAGCAATTATTTGGGATTCCACACCAAACACACAAATCTTTATTGTGATATTAGCACTGACTGTGCAGCACCTTACGCTGTTCCTTTCTTAAAAAGCTCTGAAGTCTAAGATGATTCTGGCAATACCTGGGGATAAAGCAAGGATTTTCTTCCAAGCTATTTTCTTAAGGAATTCTCTTTTTTTGTCTTTTTGGGTAATTTTACAAGAGAAAAAAAAAACCAGCAGAAAAACTCAAAGGAAGGTGCCTGAGCTCAGTTCTGTAAGATTTTGGCTTCACTCAAACCCCAGGGAAGTCACTAAAAAAATCTATTGGATCCACCCTTTAAGCACCTGCTTAATTTCAAACCTGTGGGAAGTAGAGTGGACCCCCAAATTTTTCCATGTTATTGGTTTCTTGCTCTAACACAGAGTCCCTCAGCAATTTATTTCTGTCACTGGTCTGTCCTCCCTTGGGCTGGTGGGGGCAGAGGAGACCTGCACTGATGGAGAAGGAGCTGGCTGCTCACGGTTTCCAACAGGCAACAGGAAAAAATTATATTACTCCTGCTTATTTACTGGATCAGCGGTTTTCTGGGAAAAAATGACTTTCTTCAGCAGGGAGGAACGACCTCTGGTCAAGAACTTCTGGGCTGAGAAAGTGATCCTGCAGTTTTTATTTAGGCAAGCTGAGCCCTGAGATATTATCTGCTTATGTTCTGCTCTGGTTTTCACTCTTCTAAGTTTAAACTGCTGTGCCCTGCAAGTTGTGTGGTAACATCCCTCTCCTGCCAGCTCTCCATCCTGTGAGTTTTCATTAAAAATCACGGGGACCTCATGGTTAGGTCCCAGTTTTTCCAAATTTATCCTTTTGGCCTCCAGTACTCCCTTTCCTAACGGATGGGCTCCACTCTGGCAACTCCTGAGAGCCTTCCAATAGGAAACACACATCATTATCCTTTATTAGCTATTACCTGAAACTTCAGATGCACCCCAAAATATTCCATCTGAGGGGTGCTTGGGAATCCCAAGCCAGGTTTCTTGGACAACCCTAAACTCCAGAACAGCCCGAGGGATGTTTATGCAGAACAGCATTCCTGGTTTACACATTAAGCTTTTTGATGCCCACAGATTCCTAAGCCAGCACTTAGGCCATCAGAACACAAGGCAGGTAAATAAATAAAGATTAAAAAACTTTGTAGTTGAAAGCTGGACATCATTAGGAGCTTGGATTAGCATTTCTTAAAATACAGCATAAAAGAAGAGAAAATGTAACATGTAAAACATCAGATGTGACATGGAATGAAGTGATTTAATCCCCAAACGCAGTGGTTCCCATGTGTTCACTCCGGGCTCCAAGTAATGGCATTTTTAGTATCTAACAGGAAACAAACCATGAATGACTCAATTTGCTCTGAGCAGTGTTTGAAGCGTTATCTGCAAACGAAGATTTTATAATTTTTTTTTTCTTCCCTCTTATCATGATTGCAGCCAAGCCTCAGCGCAGTTATTAGCATGAGCAGGGCTGAAGTGACCCCGGGTCTGTGCTGAGCTCCCGTCCCCGGGCGAGCAGGAGGGAGAGCACAGCCCCAAAGCCTGGACCAGGACACGGGAGCCAGTCCCTTCCCTGAGGGAGAAACCCAGCCAGGGAAATTCTCATCTCCTGCATCCCGGCCGTCAAGACTTTCTCCGTGCCCTCAGCAGAACACCCAGCCCCTACCAAAGCAGATTCTGTGAGCTCTTGGAAACGTAGAAGTTGGGCACCTGCAGATAAAACAGCCCTGACCTTCCACTGCAGCGAGCTGGGCAGAGCAGGGATGGGGCACAGGGTGTCCCCTCGGGATGGGGCAGAGAGGTTTCCCCCCCTGGAAAACCTTCAGGCTTGGGAAGCAGGATGCTCTCCCTCCCTCCTGGCATCCCCAGAAGCCCGGGGTGGGATGAGCGGTGCCTGGCGGGTGTTGGGGGGTGATGGTGGTGGTGGTTTGTGCCTCTCTGCTGCCACTGCTGCTCTTTCCCACAACTCGGGGGGCTCTCCCCGACCTCCCTCACGCCGCCAGCCCCGCGGGTCTGGGCAGCCCAAGCTGCCCGTGTTCCCAGCGCGGCTTCTCCGAGCATCCCCAGCACCGCGGGGTGGGATGAGCGGGAGGGAAATTCCCTGCCGGGGGTGGGGGAGTGGGTGCTTTTGCCTGCTCCCGACTGCTTCGTCCCACAGCTCGGAGGACTCTTCCCAGCCTCCCCCAGACCGTGAGCCCCGCGGGTCGGGGCACCCCGGGCGCCGGTGCTCGGTGTGGCCGGTGCGGCACCTCCGGCGCTCCGGGGTGGGATGGGAGCGTGGAAGATTCCCCGCCCGGGGAGGGGGAGCGCGTCTGGATGCTCCCGGCCGCTCCTTCCCGCAACTCGGGGGGCTCTCCCCACGCCAGTCCCGCGGGCCGGGCATCCCGGTGCGGCTCCAGCGCGGGGGCAGCGAGGAGCGGGGGCTGGTGCCGGAGCCCTGCGGGGCTGCCGGGCACACAATGCCAGCGGCGGCTCCGTCGGGGAGGACGGGGTGGCACCGGGAGCCTCCCGGGGAGGGATGGAGAGCGGGGACGGAGAGGGGAGAGGACCGGTCAGAGAAAGCGGCCACTTACTCGGAAGGATCGAGGCTTTTCCTCTCGATGGCCGATGACATTGGCAGGGCCGGTTCCTTTGTGGCGTGCCGATGGTGGGCTCTGCCCCCGCCGGCCGCGCACAGGGTGTCTGCCCGCGGAGCCTTGTCTGCAGCCGCGCTCCCCCGCCGGCCCGCGATGACATTCACAGGATTTCCTCCTGCAGCACCGACACACACACAAACAGCGCTGGGGCTGCGCTCCGGCCCCGCACCTCCCTCCTCTCCCCCCTCCGCCCCCATCCCCGCACGGCCCCCGCCCGCGGCTCTGACCTCCCATCCCCGCCGCGCTCCCCCCGCGCCCCGGCCGGCGGGGCCGTTCCCGATCGCGCTCCCGTTCCCGATCCCGTTCCCGATCCCGTTCCCGATGCCGATCCCGCTCCCGCGGGCGGGGGGCGGTGGCCGCGGCCGCCACCGCGGCTGCTCCGCGCCCGGCGCTGCTGCGGGCGGTGGGACCCGCAGCCCCGCGGGGTTATTACAGCTCGGCTCGGCCCCCGGGGCTCCGCTTTCATTTCCTTTTTCCTGGTCGCGGCTCAAATACAATGGGAGGAAATCACGCTTTAAAGAGACAGATGCCCGTTTTCTGTAACTGCACCCCCGGGGCTCGGCGGGGCGAGGGCAGCGTCGCCGCTCCATGGGCTGCTTAAAGCGGCAGAGCGGCGCTCCCCGAGCGGGGCTGTCAAGGCTTTCTCCTCCCTTATTATTCCTTTGCTTACGCTGGCCGGGTGGGCAACCTGAAAATCATCCCGAGGGCTGGGGAAAAACAAGCGCCTGGCTGCGCGTTCTGCCGCCTGCCCAGCCCCACGCAGGACCAGAGGGGCACCATCCCTCTCCTTCCCTTCCATGGGTGTGCACATGCCCACGTGTGTTTGGACGGTGCTTTGACATTCACAGGTAAAGATCCCCAAGCGTTATTTTCCCACCCAGAGTTCAAATGGCTCGGCTCGGCTCAGCCGTGTTTCATTTACATCCCACGAGTGACCGTTTGCGGGTGTTCGCTCCCCGCCATCCCCCAGTCCATTTGTTCAGGTAACAAATTTATACCCTGGCACCGTCTGATGTTAATGAGCGATAAAAGCCGGCGAGTACGAGGTATCGATCTGTAATTAATCACAAAGGAGCTGAAGATGGGAAAGTCTTGCCTGGATATCTCTGCTTTCCCTCCCACCCTTCCTCCTCTCCATCAGCACAGCATATCCCGGAAAGGACTGATTTTCAGCGTCGGAGTGAAAACTATTACAGCAACTCGAGCCTTTCCCAGTCTCTGTGGCATTAGATATTGGCCCTTGCTGGAGGCAGAGTTCTGCAGGAGATGCACCACTTGCTCTGTTAATTCCTTCAAAAACAGTGAGAAAATATCTCTAATAAAGCACTAGAGAGCAGTGCTAGAAACACTTTGCTTCTATTTTAATTCCCAGAAGAGAAATTTACTTGATGTCTATTTTTATGACCAGATTCTCGGGGGTTTTTTTTCAGCTTTTTGGCAGCTGGGGATATAATATCTGCGATTTATTAATGAGCCCGATTCAAAGATCAGTAATGTCAGCAGAAGGACTGTTATTCCTTTCAAGGGGCTTTGAATCAAGCTCTTGCAATACTTTAGAGCCGTCACTGGTCATTAGAACACATCTTTAAACACATTATCTCCAATGTATTTTAAGCTATTACAGCATGACAGTCACTCTTATTTCTGTTAAAGGAAAAGGCTCTTTTGTTAGGTTTTCACAGACGGGATTGAATTATATGATGACTATTTAATTTCTGGTATGTTTACCCTGCGATCAGAAAAGTGAAATGTAAATCTTTCCAGAAAACGGAATATTTGAACTATTACAAGACACCCCTCCCCCAAAAAAATCTGCCAGGAATTTTTCTTGGTTTAAAAAAATCAGGAATTGAATTTCAAAGGTGGCTCAAAAACATCCGTAAGGACATCAAACCTTTTTAAAAAAATGAAGACCTTTCTATGAGCTTGGTTTCTCTTCCTGTGTCTCGAGATTTAATACAGTATAAACTCTGAAGCAAAATTTTCCTGATGATTGGGGTATTCATATTCTGAATAACTCCTGATGGAATAATGTGAACAATTCCATGATGCCAGTAAATGTTCTGCTTTTGTAAGTTGTGCACAGACTGCAGACACATTGTCCTGCTGTGTCCCTTCTATTTATTTTTCCAAAATTCACAGGAAATTATTACATTTAAGAACTCTGTCTCTTTATGTATCTGAAAGAGATCAGCTGCTTCAAAAGTTTTGGACAATTTGTATGTGTTTTATTTGCTTTCAGTCAGATCCAGGACAGACTTGGCTAGAATAAGTCAGATCTTGAAACACTGAACTTGTGAAAGTGCTGGGATCATTCCATGGGTGTGGAAGCACCACCTGTCTTCTCATCTAAAATAATTGTAATTAAACTGTGAGATTATTTCTTGTTTTCTCTCAGTCCTATGAAAGAGAGACATCAGGCAAAGTCATGAGAAACATAAGTCAAAAAAAAGCTGGATTTGCAGCAAAAAGCCCAGCAAGAAGGTCATCAGAATGCTGACCAAGACCTGCATCTTGTAATAGTTCTGAGGAACAAAGACATGCTCCTTTTTGGAACAATTCCATTTTCATTTGTTGGGTTTACACACACTGATCTCTTGTTCTGGACAGTCACATTTGGCATTTCCAGCTGAGGACTTTCTGTCCTACTAGAACAGGTGACCAACAATCATGAGCAACTTCTTTTCTTCACCTTGAGCAGGTCCCCTAATACCTCTCTGCCTCAGTTTTCCCATCTGCAAATGTTTACTTTCCTCAGCAGAACTGGCTGTTGATTTACTTTCTCGTCCCGCTGAGCAACGTTCCCAAAGACAAAGTGTTATTCAGCCCTGGGATTGGTGGTGCCGACATTTCCTGCCCAGGGACAAAAAGACTTGCACTATTTTTAGCCAGGGCTTTTCTTTCCATTGTCCTCTTCTCTGTGAAGCTGGATTTTCCAGTGTTTTTTAGTGTGGCTTTTTGTGTGTGTGTGTGTGTGTGTTCATTTACTGAGAATCCTGAGGGATGAGTTTTGGTTTCAATTAATTTTTATTAATAAAGGTCGTGCTATAGGCTAATTATTGGAGCATGGCTGAGGTCAAATCTGCTGTTAGAAACTACATTTAGCATTCAGTGGAATAATGGGCCTCAAATAACTCGGCTGGACTTTTCTAGAGAACATTTAATGTAAAACTGCATCCTTTCTATGAGTGGTGTAATTTAAAGAAGGAGCTCAGTGTGCCTATTTCAAGACCCTCTTGGACTTGGAGTATTTTCACCTTGGTTTTGGAAGGCCAAAGTATCATCATCATCATCATCATCATCTAGTCTCAGGTTGTTGCTACCTTTTTTTCTTTAGCATATCCCAGCTTTATTCCCCCTATGGCTTATGGATATTACTGAGATATTTCAGGTCAGCCTCATTTAGAGAAGTCTGTGTTCAGTAAGATTAACTTTGCTGCCCTCAATAGCCAGTAATGCTGGTTGCCTAAAAATGCAGTTTATGAAGATTGAAGTCTCTGCATAGACAGAAGAATTAAATCTCAGTGATGGTGGCCTAGATTTTCTGGTAATGCTTTCTGGGGGAGAGAAAACTCAGGACCGTGACAAAAGGGGAACAATTAACATGAAAGGTGGCAGGAAGGAATAAGGATTTCTGTAATTTGGGCTGTGTTCTGCTGCTGACCCACCATTTGGTGTTTGAATAATCGCTGCTCCACTCCAATCCTCAATTTCCCTCTTTGCAAAACCCTCCTCTTTCCCACCACACACTGGACTGGAGCCTTGCCATGCCAGCCCTCTGAATAAGGCTCTGGAGAAATGGAAATTTGGGGTTGGTTTGGGTGTCAGGAGCACAACTTTGATCCTGCAGAATGACTTGGGACCTTGGTCTCTGCTAAAGAATGTGGATTATTTGAGGAGAAATTTGGGGATTGGGACTAGGTGGTCTTTAAATTCCCTTCCAGCCCAAACCATTCTGCGATTCCACCATCCCATGGATATAAACCAGGACATTGGAATGTGCCACTGGAGAATCAGTGCTGTATCAGTAGTTCCTCATATCACCACCATGGCATATTAATGGCATGGAAGGCACTACATAATCCAAAGGCAAAAAAAAAAAAAAAGTATTTATTCCCTTTTCATGGATCTTTTTCACTTTCTTTTTCAGCCAGTGAGTTCTGCTCTGGTCTGTGTGCTCTCCACAAGTGCAGCTTCGATTTTGTTGGGTTTTTTCATAACCAAAACTCCCCCTCATTATCCTAATTAGTACATTTTCTAACCTCCCTAGGGACAGGATAGCAGGGCTAAGGAGCTGTCCTTGAGAGATGACCACAGGCACTGACTTGAAGGCACTGGGGAGGCTTTTGGTGACGTGTGACTCACAGAGCTCACACACTCCTGACCGAGGACACACTTCTCTTTTTGGGGCTTAACCTTTCCTTTGAACTGGAAGAAAACAAACCAGAACAATAAAAACCACGCTCAGGGTGAGGTTTGCCCTGGGACTCTGAGGTCCAGACGTTAGATAAGGATCCTGCTGCATCAAGGGCTTTGAGCAGTTACAAAGTTCTGTTTTGGTTTGCCTTCTTTTCTTCCACGGGCAACAAAGACGAGAAAAAAACACCCAACCCCGCACTGTGTTTATAGCTGAGAGAAACCTCCAGCTGCAGATCACATCAGGGATGATGAAAAGTAAGTTACAGGCAGTCAGATGAAGGGATATTTCACTGCAAAAATGTGAAAGGTTCCCCCTCCCCATTTCCTCTCTCCTCTTTTATTGATTTCTCTTGCTGCCACCGAGCCCTTGCTGCCTTGCACACAAGCCAGATCCAATTAGCCTGTCATGGTTTTCAGAAGGCTCCTGCTCTACAGCACAGTCCTTTCAAGCAATTTCCCCTTTTTCCATGGGAAATACTCTCTGCTATGCTGGTGCATGGGAATGGCCCCGGTAGGGCACTGGGGCCAGTTTGGACTTTGGTATTAAACATCTCATCCCAAGCCACTCATGTCAGAGAGGAGACACATCTGAACTGAAATGGGCTTTGAGCTGCACCCACAGATACTTTCGGTTCAGGAAAATAAATGGTGAATGGGAAAGCAACTCCCTGAGGGAAAATTTCACAGGGACTCAGAGACAGCCAGGAACTGCAGCTCAGGCTGCCCTGTTTATACCTACAGACACACATATGTGTGTATATAGTTAGATGTTTATGTAATTACACATATGGATGCATTTTTACATTGTAGATAATTATGCATTTGTGTCTGGTGTATGTTAGTAAACACACAGA